AAGACGCTGAGCTTGTCGATCAGAAAGGTCGGCAGTTCGGATCCCTAGTGCCACGTAATGGCGTGAGCTCCCATGACTTGTCCCAGCTTCTGCCAACCTAGCAGTTTGAAAGCCCGTAAAAAATGCAAGTAGAAAAATAGGGACCACCTTTGGTGGGAAGGTAACAGCATTCCGTGCGCCTTTGGCATTGAGTCATGCCGGCCCCATGACCACAGAGACGTCTTCGGCAGCGCTGGCTCTTTGGCTTTCAAACTGAGATGAGCACCGACCCCTAGAGTCAGGAATGACTAGCACATATGTGCGAGGGTAACCTTTACCTTTAAAATCAATTGGGGCTTGTTCCTAAGTCACACTCATAATCATACAAAATAAGCCTTTGCAGTACAATTATCCAGTTCAGTGATGCAGCTGTGGGAGTCCTTGATGCACTCTGAGCTTGATAGTTTTCTTGCAGACGTTTCATTAACCAACCAGGTAATAACTTCAATGCTAGAAGGGAGCAGGTTTTGCTCTCTATTTATACAATGTACTTAGTGGTTTGTCCTGTCAGTGTTGGTAGGGGTGCTGTTTTTTTTTTTCCTTGGAAGTTCCTTAATTAGGCCCTAGCAGTCTGCAGAGATTCTCAGTCATCCAGGTCACGGTTGTCCCAAAGGTGCTTTTTCAGGCGGCAACTGGAGTTTCTTTTTTTTTTTTCTTTCGAAGACATTTCGCTTCTCATCCAAGAAGCTTCTTCGCCTCCCTACTATCCTGTCAGAGCTGAAGAAGCTTCTTGGATGAGAAGCAAAATATCTTCAAAAGAAAAAAATATTTGGATAGGCCTGATAGCAGCCAAGTTAAGGTAGAGTGACGGTCACCTTCCAGGTATTTTTGCTCCCTCAAATATCGCCATCTAATGGTAGCTAAGAAGCATATCTTTTCTGTAGCCCCTCCTGTGCGGTGAAACATCCTTCCCCCTGGCATCCAACAAGCTTGCAATCACTTCACTTTCTAGAAAGCCGGTAACTGCTGGCTTTTCTCCCAAATAGGGGGATAGGCAAGGGATTGCATAGTTCGATATGTGGAATGATGTTGATTTGGCACTAGGCTTTTCTTGTTCGTTTGATAGATTGTTTTATTGCTGCATTTTTATTATTGCTGTTCCCCACCCAGCTGACTTGTTAGTTATGTTATAAGAACACAGCCTCTACAGAAATAGTTTAAGCCCCTTCCTATTTGTACTTTAGGATATGGTAGCTCAGTGGCTAAGACGCTGAGCTTGNTTAGGGGTTAATTTTAGGTTTAGCGTTTACAGCGTGCTTCTGTCTCCGCGCTGTTGTCGCCCTGTTGATGACGTCAGCTACGCAGTTTCGTCGAGAGAGGTTTAGTCGAGCGCGGTTTTGTGGTGGAACCGAATCTTTTCCCACCCACAACAGCTCCCTTGCCTCTTTTGGGAAAAAAAATTCTGTAAGTATAATATTCTCACTTTTACTTATGCAAAAGATTTGTCTTATGCTTTCTAAGCATCTCTCCTCCTAGGAGAAGCTTTCCCTTGGCTATTCTCCAGTGCTTCACTTTTTCCTTTGGCAAACTGGATCAAATGCATGAAACGTAATTGCACAAATTACATGAATTGCACAAATTTAGCAGAAGAATACAACATTTGAAACACTTTCTGGGGTTCATGAGAGAGTAGAAAATATGACATGTTGGATCTGACAAACCTAGCACTGAGGCCTGAACTCTTTTGGTTTTTCAATGTTGCAGTCAGCAAGTCAGTTCAAAGACATCCAGAGTTCTCTCTGTAACTGAAAAAGCATTTCACTCTTCAGACAACAGTTCCTAACAGGTCAAACTTTCATCATGTCGGAGTTGACATCTAGATACAAACACTTCTTTATTCCATGTATCATTTGTCTTGGCTTTAGGGAGAATACCTCTTTAATGTAAATCCAAATTTGGGGCAGAAAACCTTTAGAATGACCCCATCATCAGCTCTCCCCTGGCAGTCCATGGTGTGAGCTTTCCAATGATCCAAATCTTGTCAAATATAAATTAGTGCAAGTTGAGAAGCATATACAAGATCATGTGTATACCCACAGGTTACGTGGTTGCTGCCCACACAGAGAGAAAAATGTTATTGGCAGCTAGCTCATTGAACAGATACTATTTCCTCATATCTTTAATATTTTTGTGGGAATTTCTAATTGCGGGCCTTCAAGAGTTTATGGACTGGCATGTTTGAGGTGAGAACATGGGCAAATCAGCTTTGAGGTATGAATTGTACATGAGCTTTATAGGTTGGTGGAATACAGACCAAACTCATCAGTATATCTTCAAGCTAGACAAGACACAAACATGCTTTATTAAAAAGACTTTCTTACAAAAAAAGGAAGGACTTAGTTTTGCAAATAAATCGTGAATAGCTCCAACTTTTTGTGAAGAAGCTGCAATATGTGGAGGCTGGACTTTTACACTGGCTTCTTTTGTGTTTTACCAGACCAGAACTTCAGTTTCTGTTCTGTGGGATGTTGTCATATACCTCCTTGTGTAGGTGTGGCGGTCACCCATGGCCCAGTGCATAACAGGGCATGCACAGCCACACTGAACCACACAGGAAAAAACAAACTCCATAGCATCCTGATAGTACTCCATAACATCCTGATAGTTCATAACATAACATCCTGATAGTTCA